TGAAAGACAAAGGATAAACCAGAAAACTATTTTCTGTATCCATCCCATCATTTTTCTAACAAAGTCCACTAATTAAGGGTTGTGGCGGAGCCAAAGCCGATCACAGCAAGCAACACATCCAGGTAGATTCCAACCTGTACGGGATGCCAGTCCATCACAGGACACACACACAGACACACTCACACCAGGGCCAATTTTCCCAGAAGCCATGTAACCTACCAGTATGTCTGTGGACTGTGGAAGGAAACTGGGGTACCCAGAGGTAACCCACACGAATACAGGGAGAACCTAGAAATTCCACACCGACAGTACCCCCAGACAGCTGGGGACAGCTGCTGACTGTGCCTGTGTTTGATGAGAGTTGGCACAACATCCCGAGAGGTTAGAAGGGTCAGAGTATTTAATCGACTCTGAAACTGTCTTCACCTGGCTTAATTTCAGGACTAGCGAGTCAATCAAGGTTTGAGGCCCTAAAAAAAGTAGTAATGAATCCACTGGAAGGGCACCCAAAGTTTTGCACATGCCACATTCACTGTTTTCTTTTTTTCCCAATCTGAAAATTCAGAAAATATACAGTATTGTAATTGTGCATTTAAATGTGCAGAAATGTGATGTTTAAGCTTGTACCCTGCAGAGGCTGTTACTTTCTTTTCACTTAGAGATTCAGTGAAACATGCAATTTGACCAGGGGTGCCCACACTTCTGCATACAACTGTATATTTGCATTTTTTTTACACATAAATGCAAATGACCAGTTACCACTCAATCATACTACACCAGGGTAGTATCTCTCAGCTCATTTACAGGGTAGTTATATATGATTATTAATCCAGTCCTGTTTATATTTACAATGATTTATGTGTTTTGTATGTGGTGTAAATACTTCTAATTTTCATTTTTAGGCAGCCCTTTTTTCATTCTGTCACAAATTCCCAAACCAATTATCAGGTTATTGGTCTGTATTTCCAGTTTTTAGGTGGAAGCAGTGTGTACCTTACTGAGGACAGTAAGTTACATAAACAATATAGAGAACCTAGGCCCTCCAGGATGAGGAATGAACATCTCTGCTCTGCACAGCAGTGTTCTGAATACAGAACACAGTGTTTTTGTTCTTTAAAGGAACACATTTTAAATGGGGAAGAATGATAATGAATGATTATATATCTAACATATTATTACACATTTGAGATTTTCTAGAAGATCAATTGCCACCTGATTTTAAAAGTTTAATTACCACCCTTTCCAGCTTAACGTTTATGTTATGAATGAAAATTTGATCAGCAATGTAATACCTAGAAATGTAATACCTAGATCATCTTACCTGTTTTAAAATCAATGAATTGTCAGAACAGTGTCAAGGTAACAGTTAATGCCACAACTAGAACAATTTTCACAAAATATATATATTTTTTGTTCATTTATGAACAAATTTGATAATGATAAACTTGGAAAATGAATACTGTTTGAAGGGACTGATTTTCTCACATGAATGCCTTTCAGCCGAGATTAAAGTAAATATTGAATTATTAAACATTAAAATTTATTTCACTGACCCTGAAAAGTGACTTTTTTTTCTTAGTATTTTAAACATACAGAGCTTATATCAAAACAACAGGCTAAAGGAAATTAATGAACAAGTGAACATTTTCTTAGGATGCAGCTGTTGGGTGCAAACATTTTGAATTTCAATGCCATGACTCAGAATTTCAAAATAATAAAAATTCAATTGTTTACTAAAACGTATATTGGATTAAATTTAAGGGTGTCTCAGTGGTTAGCATTGTTGCTTTGAAGTGCTGGGGCCCTGTGTTCAAATCCAGCTGTCTGTTTGTAGGTTCTCACCATGTTTGCATGGGTTTCCTCTGGGTGCTCTGTTTTCTTCCTACAGTCCAAAGACATACTGGTAGGTTAATCGTTTTTTTGGCAACACTGGCCCTGGTGTGAGCGTTTGTGTCCGTGTATGCCCTGCAGTGGACTGGCATCCTTGCCCAGGGTGTATCCTGCCTTGCATCTGTTGCTTGCCTGGATAGCTCCCCCACGACACTGCATAGAATAAAGCTGTTCGAAGATGGAGAATACATTTTCATTAATACAAGGAGAAATTTAGAAACAACTCTGAACATCATGACAAATGATTTACCTTGCCTCATACTGTTAAGGTATTTATTTGTGGTGCATTACCTGTCGAGATATTACTTTTGAAAAGCTCTCATTGCAGAATTATTTTTGTGGTTCTTTCACAATCGCTTATGTGGCTCATCGCTTACAGGCTGTACCTATCAGAAACTAAAGGAACACTATCCTGTCAGGATTGTGACCTTTTCAACCTCCCGTTAGCAACCTACAGAGGAATAAATGATTTCACACGCTGGCCTGCTGGACCACTTCATCACTGTCGCTTCACATTACCTGTGCAAACTTTAATCTCCCAGCCCCCTTCACCTCTGTGCGGCCAGTGTCGTGTAAATACTTGCAGAAACCTAATGACCACCCCAGGCTGCTGTGAATGCAGCAAGTCGGAACAAGGATTTAACACTCATCAAACCAGATGCTTTAGTCCCAATAACCCATTGAAGAAATTCATGTTTGGTGAATGCGAGGACATTTATTCACAAAACAATGCCAACATTAAAAAAAAAATAGTATGCAAGCAGATCCCTATGAGACCCACAGCCAAAAGTGTGATTTCACAAAAGAGAATGCTGCTAATCACTTGCCACTTACTAGCACAACTTTATGTATCACAGGAACAAGTCATAGAAAAGAAACACAACGTTTCGGGTGTGGAGCCTTCTTCGGGTGTCAACACACCCGGACACATCCAAAGAAGGCTCCACAGCCGAAACATTGTGTTTCTTTTCTTGTCTTTTCAGCATGGAATAAACCTATTACTTGTTCCTGTGATACATAAAATTGTGCTAGTAAAGTAACTACTTTATGTATCACATACGTAATGCACAGGCTACACAACTACATTTAAATTAAAACCATGCTTTGTTGTTTAGACAGTATTTGTTCATTGTACGCTAATTAGTCTGTTCCAAAATGTCCTAAAGGCACACTTCCAATGTGTCACACATATAAGTGTTTTTTTTTTTTACAAAGGACATTCATCACTTCATTCACCTTCAATCCAATCGTGACAAGCAAAATTAGGAAAAGTCACCAACAACATGATTTTTATGGATATGACTGCTTACCTAGGAGAGACCTGTTAAAATATTTGTAAAAAATTGTTACTAAACTACACTTAACTGGTTATAATCTAACTCATAACTACTTTAATACTGATTTTGATTGATTCAAAAGCATTTAATACTTTTTAACATTTATGTTTTGAATCTTCAAAACCTTAACATATTTACAGACCTCATATTAGGAATCATGGCAAAAAAAATTCAAAATGAGTGCCCCTCATATGCAACTAGACAATGGAGAAGATGAGGTCACGGCTTATTTCCTCAACAGTATAACACAACAAAAACGATTGTGCCTCGAAAAGGTTAAAAATGATATTGCAGTAGTTCTCAGGCAGAATCACTGGTGAAATCTATCAGCTTATCAAGACTGTATTATGCTATTGCATGATAACACAAATACTAATCAAATACCACTCAGCTTCCACAATGAAATAAAAAATAACTGTTTGTTTATCCCTGCAAGCATTTAGCTTGAAAAAAAAATAACAGAGAAACTATGATCACTGCTGCTATATTTGAATAAAGATGAGGTTTAATTTATTTGTTGGCAGACAAGTTTCACGCTGAGTTTCGGGAATCAGTTTTTGAACTAATTTGTTTTTGAACAATATTTGTTTTACACATCAAAACCAAATAAAATCCCATACAAACGATAGCAATTTCAATAGTCCAAAATAGCTTTCAAATTTTCAAAGCTCAAAATTGTAGGTGAAGGAGCTTTTTCCAAAATGACTTTAGTGAGGCAACCTTATTATTTTTTGTACATTCAAGGGCTCTACCCAAGGCAATACATCACAGGTGGAGTTGGACAAGCTTCAATTTTCTCTAAGCACTGTGTGCTTTGACATTTCCTTAGGAGTTCCAATTCAATAGTGTCATTTAGGAAAATAAGCCAAGGGATACACAGCCACTTCGTTACCTGTGTAAGCTTGCGATTTCTCACAGCATTAAAAGAGCATTAGTCAGTGAGGACGACAAAGAACTAATCTCCTTAATTCAATAAAATATCTTCGACTCCAAAGTAACATCTATATAAGCAATGTAGAATTATGTATCAGAACAGAAAAAAGAAAAAGCAGAACGCAAGTACAAGTAACAAAAACAGCTACCTTATCCATATTTGGAGATTTGTTAATGTGACATATGAACTAGGGGGGAACACTGCACTCACTGTATGTTGAATTTTTAGACCCGTCTTTGAGAATGAATATTTGAGTGGCATGGTGGTGAAATGGTTACCATAGCTGCATCACAGCGCCGAGGCCCTGGGATCAATTCCTTGGCCACTATTTTGAACGCTCTCCTCATGTTCACACAATCATCTTGTTGGTGCCAGTATTTACATTTGTACGATTTTGAGTTAACTGGTCAAATAGCCTACACGATAGGGTACAGTTCTCAAAATGACTGCCCCCCCCAGCTACAAAAATAAATCCAGCAATTGTTCACGTGCCAGCAGAGAAGTGTTTCATGGCAATGAAGTTGGGTTCAAGGTTCCAATTCGACTACAACACTTCATAAGACAGCTGTGAAAAAGATGCAGGACCACTTGTGTCTGAGATATGAAGTTGCTGGACAACCTGGGCTTTGGCATGAGTAGGTTCAAACAAGGGAGAAGATATGCCCTACAGTCTCAACGGGTTTCCACCGTTCTCAAGTCTAAATCCAAGGAAAATCTGTACGTGAAACAAAACTTTCAATATTCAAACAACATGTGTCTTGAATACGCAAAAGCAGATGCAGTGGGGGAATCCTCAAGCTGCTTTAAAAAGACGCAATAGAGCATTTAACAAAGACTTTAGCAACTTTATTCCAAAATAGGGCACGAAACAGTAAAACATATTTAATTAAAAACTGTACAGTAAAAAACAATTTAAGATGGTAGCCCTTAAAAATAACATTATTTTTAAAGTTCCACACCTTTTCATATATTTTTTTTAAATATACTCCTTATCAGCTACCTTAATGACAAAATGTACTAATAGTGTACAAAAACTTTCAAAGTGACACAATTGTACTTCTTCAACAACTTGGAACTTTCCCAGCATAAAGTGTCTGTGAAGGAAGCTTTATTATTTTTTGTGTTATTTGTCTCTTCCCCTTCTTCTCTCCTCTTCAGCCGAAGGTTGGGAATCACGTGAATTTATACGTAAGACAGTTAAGGAACGTTCCGCAACAGAACACTAAAATAAAAACAGAACCTGCTACAGGGACATGCTGTAACACTGGCTAACTGTGGCAATGTTTGACAAGGGGGATGTTGGCCAGAAACATACTTAAATTATTCAATATAATTCAATCTCATAGCATTGAATTTTAGTGTAAAAAAAACTGTAAAGAAGAGTGTTTGTAAGCCAGTTTCAGTGCTGTAACACATTATGCCTGTGCTGTGACAACTCTTTACCCATCAAACACATTGCTAGGGCTTTCCAAGCTATCTGCTGGTGTCTTTGCAGCAGTGGTAAAAACAACACACCAACCTCTACGATAGCTTGCAAAAGCTGTATAGATAGGGCGTCACAGTGGCACACTGGGTAACACTGCTACCTCCCTGGGGTCCCGGGCTCAGACCCAGGGTGCTATGCGCCTGGAGTTTGTATATTCCCCTCTGTGTTCGCGCGGGTTGCTTCCAAGAGCTCCGGTTGCCTCCCACAGTCAAAAACATACCAGCAGGTTAATTGGCTTCGGGGAAAATTGGCCCTAGGTTTGTGTGTGTGCATGGCTGTCTGCCCTGAGATAGACTAGCATCCCATCCAGCGTGTATCTTGTCCTCGGATGGACAGAATGGATGGATGAAAGACAGATATATACAGACAGATGACAACATAGCAAATTAAAAGCTTGAATCTTACAGATGTCTCACTGACTTGTGTGATCCTTTTTGTCCTGTCAGTGAGACGCCAGACATGCCAACTAAAAAGCAGCTGCAAATATAAGGAGAGAAATGAAGCTGAAAAAGACTCAGGTGTCTATGCTGCCATCATTCTCAGCTTTCTAGACTTGGGGTCAGCAATGGACAGCATGCAAGCCACTCTTTGCACACAACATGATTTTAGTGGAATGTGCAAAGAGAGTCTAATTAGCAGCAAAGAAAAAAAAGGATGGCACTAGACTCTCTTGATTCTCAATAAAGTTTATGATGTCACAGATCACATTTCCTGCACCGACGTGGAGGGTCAATCATTGTGGACAAAATAGCAGTTCCCAAGAAAGTGATGTTAGACGTACACTCATTTCATCCCTCTTGGAGAGAAAAATACAGATTTGTTCAACAACAAAGACTGTACTGTTTGTGATCTGTGTTGTGAGAGCATTGTTTGCGATGCATCAAATTGCATTTTAAGAGAAAACGTGAGAATCCTTTCAAGGATTAGATGGAAAAGGCAATGAGATGCGAAAACAAAACCCCCGAAAGAGAATGAAGAATGTGGGAGCAACCAAGGAACAGACTGAATACACCGATTTGGCGCCTCATTGTAAGCATATTTATAAAGGATATGTTTCGTAATCCAAGGTCTGTGTTAGCACTCCCGTCAAGATAAACTCTGCATTATGGACATCTGAAACAAAAGAACTGCAAAATGAACTGGGGAAACGCCAAGTGAAGTAACTGAAAAATACAAAGAATTAATCTATATTTACCTATATTCTTGGCAAAATACTCTCTGCACAAATGAAGATCGTTTTCACAGGATATCAAAATTATCTCCGGTAAACTCTAAAGATGAGAAGAAGAAAATCATTTAAAATATCAATCTTATGTAATGCATACTTTTACCAACCATATGTTCTGTATTGCTTACTAAACTGCAGACCACACAGTGAAATGAGCTTTCAAGAGCAACCATTAATTACACAACCTTCATTAAATTCATTGACGGTGGTATCATTGTAATATCTGCAGAAAAAAGTCAAATTTATGAACTGCACCTGTATTACCCAAGTATAACAAAATACACGCATATGAAAATATGAGTTTGCAAGTTTGCACATGTGAAGGAGATATACAGGGTTCAGTGAAATACAGATTATTTATGTATTCATTTATAATATATATTATTATGAAATACAGCAGGCAGGTCACAAAGGAAAGTCACATTGGCATTCAGGGCCCATCTAACACATCTAGCAGTAATAACAATAAAACTGTCTGGAAGAGGCCTTAGCAAAACACAGAATTGTTAAGGAAGTGCTCACAGGCCTCCAGACACATCCATATGTTAACATATAATATTATATAATGAAAATATCTTCACTACCTAAGCCATTGCATTACAATCTGTAAAACGTATGCTTTTTCATTTGGATCCAGCAAAATGTTCCAAGGTTCTCCACGCAAGTTTCAATAAAGGAAAAACAATTGCGTATAGCAGCAAAAAATGAACGTTTTGCTTGAAACACTTAAGTGCTCGGTTAAATTCTGCACCATTCAAACAATAATAATAACAACCTTTATTTTATATAGCACCTTTAAAAGTAGCATCTCAAGGTACTCTATAGTAGGTGTAAAAAACAGTTATAAGAACAGCAAATCACAGGATTGGAACATAAGAAACATGCGGAAAAAGAAGCAGCAGAAAATATGTGGAGAAGAAACACTTCTCGAAATCCTACCTTATTTTGCTTGTGTTCCATGATTTTACGGAAGGAAGGCTGCTTTGCCAACACTTTGCCACCTGCACATTCCACAATGGATTTCATCGTTGTGAGGCTTGGGCAGATTCCTGGAGTTATATAGAAATACTTCCCCTTGAACAACAAAATGAAAAACAGCTCATCTGTAGATTAACAATTTCCCTTTTGCCACTCTTGCTTTACTTACTTTGAGAACTAGTCTACATGTGTATGAGTACAAACTTCAGACTTACAGTCTTCGAAATACATTTTTATCCCTTGTTTCATTGTACTACTAGTACATTCTACTAGTAATAATAATGTAACAGGACAAACTTTATTCAACTGGCATACATGGTTATATGGTAGTTAATACTGCTGCCTCACAGGTTTTGAAACCTGGGTTCGAGTCCAGACTTAAGACTTATGCTTGGAGCTGATGTGTTTTCTCTGTGCTTGTGTGGGTTTTCTCCTAGTGCTCCGGATTCCTCCCACAGTCCAAAAACATGATGGCTAGGTTAAAGGTTAAGGTTAGGCCAGGTTAAAAGGTGATGCTAAATGACCATACGAATACATGCATGCCCGATGGACTCAGTGAACCTGCCTTGAGCTCTGTACTTCCATAAAGACTTGGGGCTGTTGCAACCCTTGCCAGGAAGATGAAGCATTTTGAAAACATATGAAACTCTGCAATCAAATGTTTAGCCCCCTTTGTCAAAATACACAGAGTGAACTGATCTGAGTCACTTAAGACAAGGTTTTATTTTCAAGAAGTGATTTGGAAGGAAAACTAGGAGACTGCAATTACAGCAGATTAAAAGCAGACCAGTTAAAGAGGGATTTTTAAACAAAATACTTAATTTTAAGTTACATTAGATTACGGCAAGTTAGATGAAGGCAGTGTGGAATTTTATGTTTTGTGCATGCTAAACTAAAACATGACCTTTTGCGCGCCATTAAACATTTGTCCTTTGTTCTCTCCGAACAATACAAAGAAAAACGTTTTAATCCTCAAGGGCCCATAAAATGTATGTACTGTTCTCTCTAAATTGTTGCCAATTCCCAGTTGAGCGCAGCCACAAAGATCTTGATAAGCTTCATGCATTCACGAAGTTTCCATTACAGAACCTACTCCGGAACAAGCTCATTATCGGACATCAAACCCAAAACGACAGATGTCCGCAGTCGTTCTTCCCGGCCAGCGCGCGGACAGCGGTGTCCGTCTTTGACGCGCACCCGCCGGGGGTTTGCCGGCTGGTAGCGAGGGCAGCGACGAGGACCCCTACCTTGAAGAGAGGAGCCGAGTGCGCCCTCTTCAGCGACTCCTCCAAGCTGAAGCAGAACAGCACCTCCGCCTCCGCATCCCTCAGCACGAAATTCTGCTCATCTGGAAAGAAAGAAATAACGGAAATCTTTCGAAGGGGATATCGATCAAATTACTCTTCGGAGCAGTCAACCATGCTCCCTCAGTTTAGTTTTCTGGACAGCTGTTGTTAACACGGGGGTCTGTCCCCCGGGGGTCTGTCCCCCCCCCCCACCCCCCAACAGACTTGTATGACAAAAACGCAAACCTAACATACAGATCCAACAGACTTTAACAAAGCGTAATATTTAAGTTTAACTAACACAAATGAAAATTCAATTAAAGTGTTTTTCCTAACTAATTTCAGGAGTAATCAAGGAAGTGCTTAATTGTACTCTAGAGGATAAAGATCTTAATGATTGTTTTATTAGGCTGGACTAATTAAGGTACTGACTATAAACTTTGAAAATATAGATACTACTTTTAGAATTAAAACATCTTGTACTGCTTTTAGTGCGTTAAACCTAATGTCTGAATTGCACTGTACTTTTTCCTCTCTCTGCATGACCTCTTATATCACTGGCACAAAGCCAGTACACTGCTATTATTAAGCATTCTCATTATATGTCACTATATTAACTCATCCCACCTCTGCTATTTTACTTCATGAAATAGTCCCTCAAACCATAAAAACACCAAATAACTGTCCCTTATAGATTTTTTTTGTTTTCTTTATGTAAAATAAAACCTGTACGTAATATAAAATCTGAGCACACTCTGTCTTCTGGAGTGAATTTTATGCTGTTGATTGAGCCTTTGGGATGATGGTCAGTTTTGAGAACGTTTTTTTCCTGCCTGCTAATACAGTTGATACAGCTGAGTATTGATTTTACTCTCCTCTCTGATGAGTAGCTGGAGAGGTAATTTCACCGCTACACTCACAGTATCTACTTTTGCCACAGCAGCATTTGGACATTCTTACTATGGCTGGAAGAACATTAATTACTTTTACACTGCAGTAAGTTATTAGACTTTTTTAAAGAATAATGTAATAGTTTCACATCAGTATTTGCCCTTTGTGACTGTTGGTGACTAATATTTTATAAATCTATTTAACTAAGCTGGATATTGCATGCTTTATGATTTATTCACCTATTATATTAAAAAGTCCCCTAAAAGGTTAATATCTAACAGAGAATATTCGATTGATTTTACATATTGACGTGTAAAAAATAAAATATAATAAGGAGGTTGCTATACAATAATTAATAAACTAATCTGCTGTACATACCAACAAATTTCTGGGTTTTCCAACTTTCCTCTAACCACTCCGGAGTCACTATGTGCTTCACAATGGACACAGCTGTGAGAAATTTCACTGTTCGTGTCACTTTGCTTGCGATGAGATGGGTACACTTCTGCACGCACTCCGCCACCTCACCGCCAAGAACATACAACTTCTGGAGAGAAAAGAAAGACCTGCAGAATTAATAATCTCACATGATTAGAACTGAATAGGACACACCCATCTGCCAGGTATCTTAAGAGATGATACAAGTAATAGGTTTATTCCATGCTGAAAAGAGAAGAAAGAAACAATGTTCCGGCTGTGGTATCTTAAGAGATGACACGAGTAATAGGCTTATTCAATGCTGAAAAGAGAAGAAAGAAAACACGATGTTTCGGCCGTGGAAGGCTCCACGACCGAAACGTTGTGTTTTCTCTCTTCTCTTCAGCATGGAATAAACCTATTACTCGTTCCTTTGCAGCCTGCGCATGCTGACGCAGCTACCCACCTGAATCTCTTAAGATTCTACTTGGTAAATCTTTGAATATCAATATCCAAGAAAAGCATTAAGAGGTCCCTGACAATCAACATTATCTAGCCAAAGAGAGTAAAGTTTTCATTTTAATGCTGCAAAACTACAGCTGCCTAAAAATGGAGGCATTTGCAAATATTTGCAGTTTTACTTCTATATATCAGCAACGACCTTTTCAGAACAAAAATCCCTAACTAAACTTTTCTACAGGTAGAAATTTTGAAAGAACCAGCGGCGAGCTGTCAACAGACTCCTAATTCTCACGATGAAGTCGCAGCACACAAGAGCTGAGGGACACTGTTCTAATCTGGCTGTCTTACTCTAAAAGGCAATGCCTAGTGATATTGAAAACCTAATTCGGGCCTTCTTGCTGAATATGGACTGCACTTCGTATATTGTAATGAATGCCTATCTTTTTACACAGGAACGTTAATTTAGGCTAGAAAATAGAAACCTGGACCTGGCGTTTCTGTTGACAAACGTCACCAGAGGCAATGTAGAACACAGAGACTTTGGGCAACTTCAGCTACCAAGGTTTGCAAGTGCTTTTTAAGTATTGATAAATCGTAAAAACTCCTTGTTTAGGCTTTTGGGATGTGGCAACTATAAGGTGTGTGTATTCAAATCTTTTGTAATAGAAATCCCTGATGCTTAACTCTGAACTCATCGTGCTTAAAACTGGTAACACTTTACAAGAAACGCTTTAAGAAACTTAGTTACCTTTATATACTGTTGAACCTGGGCTGGTTCAAATCCAGTGAAGAAAACGGCGGGGGTAGATTCCGGTGGTAGTTTTTTAGTTGGAGTTGGCAAATCTTCAATTCTGTAATGACAACACTGCTCTGAGTTGGGCGCTGACTATTATATTTCACTAGCAATACTGTCAAAACGTATTATTGTTATACAAGAATTAAAAGGGTATGAATGGCCAAATACACATAATAGGTGCAGAATGTACCAGAAATTCATAAAGATTCATTTCCTAATTCTGTGAAATTTAAAGAAAATTAAAAATTTCATTTTATATCTAAATTAAAATGCTGCTTCACCGGTTATCAAAAACAGCTTTTTATACTATTTTGTTGCTATTGAAAGTAAAAAAAAAAATTAAACAAAGTTAGGTTAGAAATACTGTTCTAGCATACAACATACACTTTGAAGAAATTCACATAACAAAGAAAGTAAATTTGCTCACCCATTCATTCCAGATCAGATACGATTGATTTAACTGAATGATTTACACATTATACTCAAGCGTAGTACATACCAGCCCTAGATCAGCTCTATCAATGCCCATTGCTATACAGTGCATGTTTGTGAGCAGACTCACAACCTTCCAGGACTGTTTAACTCACCTTGGCTTTTTCGCGGGAGGTTGTGGGTTAGGTTCACTCTGTCTCTGCTTCTGCTGAAGCCGGATGGTCTGTTGTTAAAAATAAAGAAGCTAAATGCCTTTTGTAAACCACGTTATATGATTCAGCTAACGTGTAATAGGTTAATTCAATATCAGTTCATTCATTGGATTAATCCCATTGGTGATATGGTACTAACCAAATGAGTTATATGATACATATAAGTTATTTTACACCTAAATTAACATTTATAGCCTGACTACTAGAATGAACACAAAAATCTAACTTAGAAATAGTAATATTATGAGGAAGACACGATCATTTTAAAGAATATGGCATATAAGATCAAGGCACGTACAATTCTACGCAACTAAAATTGCAAGAGATTTACCACTGTCCGAAACTGAAGAACAACTCAAGCTAAGGTTTTTGGGAACACAGAATGTGCAGAATGATTAAGACGTGCTCTGGAACTCATGAATTAAAGAAGAGGATTCCAGTCCTGGTCTCAGAGGGCTGGTGCCGCCAGAATGTCATAAAGGTCGTTTTTAAAGCACTAGCACCTCTTAAGCAGGGAGAAGTTATTTAAATGGTTCGGATGAATAAAAAAATGAACCGATTTAAGTTCTTAAAACCTGGAAAGTTTTATCTTTAGATTTGCAGGAAAGCAAATCTACAGGACCAGATTGGAAATCCCTGTAACACAGCCTCTTTTATCAACGAGAATAAGACAACTCAAGTTAGGATATTTGTTTAGATATAACAATGTTGATCCATACCAGTTTCTCACACAGCAAACACTTCTTAAATCACAAGGCAAACACTATAATGCGTTTGTCTAGAAGACCTTATGAAAAGTATTTTCTGAAAAAGTGCAATATTCCAATAAAGCAAACAGTCGCTGTGCTTGGTTTTGGTCTGAGTTCTTCAAATGATACGTCATTAAAAATAACAAGATAAATGACTGCATTTTTACATTTTATACAGAAAAATACCAAAACCATAGAAGGGTTTCCGAACGAAACAAAATCATATTGGTTTAGATTTTTTTCCTCCAAAAGCTCAGAACATTGAAATTACAATCTTATCATGAACTAATAAGCCAGAACCAAAAAGCCATTTAGACCTCTTGTATGCACATGGAAGAAAAGTGCCATCCATTAGTGATTATGCAACCTGTTTATAAATCTTTATCCTTAACCATGTATCCTTCTGCTGTGCATGAAAAAACACCAAAGATAATACTTACAACCAGGACATCTGGTGAGATCTTCAAAGGTCCTTGCCATGCCGCTGGAAGACAAAGTTAAATCTCATTACCACCCTGAAATTCCTGACATTTTATTTTTATATTGTACACATAGTAGCTCCCAGCAGGAATGTTTCTACCACAGAAGACATGTCTGTCTAATGAAGCTACTGATTCTTTTTATTAAAAAAAAGAACAAGGACAAAAATATAAGGGAAATGATTTTCAAATGGAACAGATTGTTTTTATCAGGCGTCCATGTTTTGCGGTTCAGCAATAAGGGAAGAAAAAACGGGATCCATTTGGGAAACGGGAGAAAAGTTTTTCCTTAATTTAAAAAAATACATATATATAAAAAAACCCTGAGGGAGCTGTACTGCCATCAAGCACTTTTTCTTAATGGTAACATCATACAAGCTGAACCACCAGCTGCAACGCTGCTCTAGTCCCTTTTAAGAAAACTGAATTGTTTTATCTTATACAGATTATAATCTTATTTTATAGTAATCTTTTATTGGGGGAAAAAAGGCACCAGTTTTTTAAATTACAAATGATAAGCAGTCTCCATTATCCAAAATCTTACCCAATAAATTCTGTACCAAATGTTGATTTGGTGCCAGAGGGTCCTGAAGGTTAAAAACTGAATAACGGCTGTGCTGGATCTGGCGCAGAGCTTCGAAGTTGCCAAGAAGAATATCGCAGAGCCACTGAGCATTGACACAAGGTATCCTCCATTCTTTGGCTTTCTCGTATTTTAATCCACTGGGTCTGCACAGAACAAAAAAAGTACATCATAGCCAAATCTACCAGGAATCTCTATCTTGATTCCTGTGCACACAATATCAGGCAAACTTTGAGTCAAACACAAACGTCTGAAGCATTTACACATGTACTTGTTGCTTAAAAGCCTGAACTACAAAATATATGTATTTAATATCACAGGGAAACATCTGAACTGCAAATACTGCTTACACTTACACTTAAAAAGTTCTTACTCAACAATGTTTAATTCCTATTCAGGATGAGAAATCGCATCTAGTAAAAAACCTCTGATAAGAGTCGAATGGAAAGTGACTGCCAGAACAGGCGTGAATGCAATCTTGACATTTTTCAGCTACTGCATTCGCAGCTGCATTCTTACCCAAGTCTTCGCATTCCCCATAAAAGAGTTAACTTATGTGACACATCAAGCAGCTATTATTAACTGTAACTGCTGTTCATGTGCTGTAATATGTAATATGAACTGCTGTGCCTGCGTGTGAACGTGGATAAAAGCCCTATCGAAATTTATGATGAGGAAACACACTGTAGAAACATCTGTGTTGACCAGTAAACTAATATGTCATGAAAAATGGAACCTGAAGTCCAGTTGGAGTTTGACTGTATATACTATATTTAAATAGGAACAGGTAAAGGTTTATTCCATGCTGAAAACAAAAGAGACCACATTTTTTGCTGTAGAACATGTCTTTTCTTTTCCCTTCAGCATGGAAGAAACCTTTACCCATATCACCCTACAACTCACAACTGGCAACCCACTGAAGCTCAGCAGGTGTGAGCCTTGCCAGTACCTGGATGGGAGACCTCCTGGGAAAAACTAAGGTTGCCGCTGGAAGAGGTGTTAGTGGGGCCAGCAGGGGCGCTCACCCTGTGGTCCATGTGGGTCCTAATGCCCCAGTATAGTGACAGGGACACTATACTGTAAACAGGTGCTGTCCTTCGGATGAGACGTAAAACCGAGGTCCTGACTCTCTGTGGTCATTAAAAATCCCAGGGCGTTTCTTGAAAAGAGTAGGGGTTTAACCCCGGTGTCCTGGCCAAATTTCCCATTGGCCCTTACCAATTATTATTATTATTATTATTATTATTATTATTACCCGTTCCTATGCATGCCGGTGCTGCTACCTACTTGAACTTATTTGTGTATATTTAAATACACTTATATTTCTCCCTGTATTTCTTGCAGGTTGAAGGTACTACATCAATCTCAAACTCACAATTGCAACAGGAAGTAATTTGCATTTGAATGCCATTGAACACAAGGCAGCCATTAACACATGACGCAACAAGTCAAGTGAATGCCACATAGAACCGCCGGAAGACAGCTCAACGGGCAGAGAGTTGCCTTTTTTCTTTGTATCAATCAGCGGGGAATTAACCTTTACTTGATCCTATGCAGCCAACACATGCTGACAATGATACCAGGAAATTCTGGAGAATAGAAAGTTAAAACTATTCAACTCCCTCCTCAATAGGTCCCATATCTGAACTTTTTTTTAATCAAATATGGAGTTGAAAGTAGGGGATGAGACCTAGATTGCTCCCCAGGTGAGCATAGTAATAACACAGAAACGCAAGAAAAAATGACAAGATCAAATGTATATTACATCAATATCCTGCTACTGTCATACTAACATGACAGATTTCACATACTGTAGGTATAAACCAGAGAGTACTTTATGTTCAAAGGTAACTAAAGTTTTAATTGTTAAATTATATAACTAACAGATATGTTCAAATTTGTGTTCAAAAATTACTTTTTTAGCTAAATTCTTATGCTTTCAATACACTGAGAAATGGAAAGCGTCATGAATATAACTCATCGTTACCCTTTATGATAATACTGTTGATTTGGCAAAGAGATCTCTGTAGTTTTTATTTCAATACAGAAAATGTAGCTCTAGCAACGTTAATGAAATAGCCCACTGAGAACCTGAACATAATACCAAGCATTTTTCATTAGTATGTTATGTCCTTTCATTTTCTTTTCATTTTTCAGTTTTGACATTATCAGGAAGAGCTTGCTGTCCTTGCCCTTTTAGAAACAAAAAAAAGTTTAAAAACAATCGTCCTTTTAACACACGGTTGGCAGTTTAGAAATACTTTTTCTAAACGTATTTGTGTTATAAAGGACACAACCACAGCCTTGCAAATTCCAACAAAATGCGATCATTTACTTTGTGATTAAAAAAGCTCTTCAAATGTATTTCAGAAATTCAGAATTCACAGAACTTACACTTTTTGAACTATAGCCACACAAAAGATAAAAGCCCCGAAAGTTACTCAATCTCTCTTTTTCACAATACTCTCAGTATCCTGTACAGTGCAGAGAACAAATTATAGCAGTAGAAGACTATAATGTTATTGAAGAGTATACTTCAGCATAACAGACAAAAAAAAAAGCCCAGATTGCCAATTTTTCTACTTCTGTAACACTTTGCCCAGTAGCTGCAGGCAACTAATGTTTTTAACTGCAGGAATTGGATTTCGAGAAAAATTCCTAAGAAAAAATTAAGTAAAATTATTGATAATCAAACTATCTGGAATTAAGTTGCCTTGCTTGGTGTAAAATATTTTTTTTGCCAGTTCTTGACAGCCCAGCCGGGATTGACTTATGCTGTCAGCTCTTCATCAATGCTCCCTCCTCTGAAAACAATAAGACAGCACTTCTCAGACCTGTTTCTCAAGACACTCTACGTCTTCAGCCTGTTATTTCAACAAAACCCTTAAATACCTAGAGCTAAACTGGACTCTTCAATCATCCGCACTAAAAAACCACAAGATAAAATCAACCTTAATCTCACCTAACCAACACTAAACATAAATGTATCCTAAACATCACCCCTACTGAATATACCTGTGAATGCTTTGTTCACAGTGTGCGGCACTTCAGTTTCTAGAAAACACGTTTTCTGTATGCAGGGACAGCAGCTCAAATTTAGAGCTCCTGTTGCCTGCCTTGGTGTATGTCGACCAAATTCATAGTGAATTCCTAGTATAATACAACTGAGAACACTTACTCTTTACAGATGAGCACAGTATTACTGCGACACAGGTAGCCTGTATATTTGGCTCCGGTCAAGTAAGCCATCAACTTGAGGTCATCCCGATCCGTGTCTATAAACCCAGTCACTGAAACGATCTGTGGGAAGATAAATATTTTTCAAATAATGTACACATTATATGTTCCAAAACAGATGATTTCTAGAATTCAAATTTTCTGGAATGTCTGATGTCAGTGTGAATTTTTTTACTCCTGTGAATAGTGGCTAAACACGTTAGGACTTTGCAGTGGGATACACATACAAAACTTGCTGTATCTTCTAAGCATGTTTGCTCAAACCTCTTTACTGCTTAAAGTCACAAATGTCACTTTCTACTCGGATCCATTCACATCTATCAATTTGTAATAAAAAACGTAACAGTCACAGCACAAACTCCCTCACTTTCATAAAACTGGGGAATGAAAATAGAAAACAAAAAACTATAAATATAATATAGTATTATAATAAAAGCACCTCAGTTTGTCTCATCTTTTTTAAACAGAGAGGCTGACAAATTTTGTATTGCAGGACTTGGGATCACTGCAAGTCAAAATATCTGAAAAATTAATGTCTCAGAGTCGGCCACTGTCAGAAAAAGGGTAAAAAAAGAGATCACATATAAGAGATGTTAAAATCATCTCATTCCAACTATCAAAAGAAAGATAATGGAAACTGTTATTCCTACTATTTCGAATAATACCACCTTATTACAGGAAAGAGAGATTGCATATAATGCCTTATTACCACAAACCAGTGAAAGTATGCTGTAGACCATTCAAAATCACATCAGTTTGCATCCATGACCCCTAAATCGAAATGGAAATCACCCCTTTGGGACAGCATAGGATTAAGACAGTCCTCAATGAGAAAACGCTAATGGAAATGTTATGATGAAACATGTAAAGAAATCATTGTGCCTGACGAACAAGCACATTTTAATTATACCAAATTATTTTTTGCAGCATTAAAGATCCATCCTAAAAATAATAGTGTTACATGTGATATAAACCACTCTGTATTCGTGAAACAGCAAGTTGAAAAACAGCAGATTAACTATGAATGCTTGCTAATTGTTCAGCATATGTTCACATTCTATAACAAGACCTCAGAAATAGCTCAGGTCTACAGAAAATGTATCTATATTTGAGAAAATGATACTATTTAACAGTATCTGCCTGTGAATTTTAACCAATAAATGATATTACGTGTCTAGAAAATGCACTACAAAACAATGTCACACAGTAGTGACAGTAGGCATCCTGCTTTTTAGGTGCCAGCAGGAAAGAAACAAAAATTAGTTTGTGCGACAGGGACAAATTATACTTTGCACTATAATTACAGAAGAGTGAACAAATTCTAAAAATAATAATTAGCCTTTCCAATTGAATTAAAATGGAACAGAAAATGCTTAGAATGCCCCAAACTGAAACTCAATTCATGACTTTGACTCCTTTCATAAATCCCACAGGTACTTTAGGTCACTGTCCCTCAACTCAACTTTTTTCTGAATTGTATAATGTTAGCATTCCCAGAGGGGTAGGACAGCCAGTTGACCTTGGATCCATAGAGGTTGTTTTTCTCCTTACTGAGGAGTTTTTGGTTCCTCTCCTCCGCTGTCTCCTGGCCTTCTCTCTTTCTGTATTGTAACGTCATGTACGGTCACACAGCTTTGTTAAGTGCCTTGGGGCAAATGGCGTCACGAGAGTGGCGCTATATATCCGAAATAAACTGAACTGAACCGTCGCCCGCGCGCCGCGGCCCACACGTACGTGCTGAGAGCATGGCTTTCCTCCAGGGGGGAAGGCGAAAGGAAAGTGCAGCGTGCGGTGAGGCGGGACCATCTTCTTCTTCTTCAAGACCGTGTTCAGCCAGTGCGCGGTGACACAGCGCTTTCCCTCCCTCAGAGCCTGCGGGGCGAGACAGTGGCAGGTTGAGAACGGGCCGGGCCTTAAGAATGGTTATTGGGTAAAGGAGATAAGAAAGGTGACAAACAAGAGGAGGCCATTCTGCACATCCAGACCATCCGATAGTCAGAAGCTTACTGATCCAAGGATCTCATCCAGCCTTTTCTTGAAGGAAGCAAGAATATCACTCACATGGTTTGGGTGGCTTGTTCCTTACTGACATTTAAGGATTAGAAATAGACTCATGGAGTAGCCTGTTCATTTTAATTCTTTTTTATAATACAGAAAGAAAAATCAACAAAAGGCACCCCTCGCTATATAGGTATCAAAGATCTTATCTATAAAGAGAGTTTATAAATGTCAAGGTCGCTGGTTGGATTGTGCATAAACTTTCAAAACTCACAACAACCAATTAAAAGCTCAAGTCTAGACTGGGTTTTCTATACCTCTGTGAATCTTGTTTGACATCTGTCCAGTTGACAGATGCTGTAAATCTACTGATAGAGCATAACAGGTTACAATACAAGATCAGAACAGGTTTTACCATTAACTACACAGGGAAATGCCACATTTAATCCATTTACGTTTGTTTATAAATAGGATTTTCCTTCAATCTCAGGCACAGTAACAGAGACAGGCAATTTTGGAAGCTTACGATATACTGCTGTGTAACACAAGTTAAATGGCTACACCTTTCTTCATTAAAAGAAGTTATACAGTTCATGAGATCGCAAAGCAAAGATGGCAAAACACCGCTTTACTGTGGTTATTCAACAACGTTTAATGGCTCAGTTTTAAAAACCAGAACCACAAAAGATGAATTTTTCAGACCCAACAGAAGTACATCCAAACAAAGGATTAAAGGATTCAAATTGTTAAAACGTACACTCTGAAAGCTGGACTCAATAATACGTGTTGGAACCAGTACAGACGGATAAATAACAAATGACACTGGAGCAGTCCAGGTATACAGGACACACACAGGATAAACTATCTGTTATTCTGTGACATAACTGGGAAGTGTACAAACAGAATACAAACCAGAGCAATACATTTAATCCTGCTATACAGATACTTGATCTCCCCTGTTAAAAGAGTGGCTCCATGATATTAAGCTAAGATGTGTATAGTGCTTTCTATAGTAGTTCAGGTAGGTAGCTGCGTCAGCATGCGTAGGCTGCAAAGGAACAAGTAAGAGGTTTATTCCATGCTGAAAAAAAGAAGAAAGAAAACACGTTTCAGCCGTGGGGCCTTCAAGCTCACACCTGAAGAAGGCTCCACGGCCGAAACGTTGCGTTTTCTTTCGTCTTTTTTTCCAGCATGGAATAAACCTATTACTTGTTCCTTAGTGCTTTCTATGTTGAGGATGTCTTCTCATCATCAGTCATTCAGCATGGAAAAATATTATTTTCACTACATGATAACACAATTAATAGGACTTACCTGAACATACATGCTGCTGACTTGACTCTCACACAGCAGATGTGTGCAGCGAGGGTTGAGCGTGGAATCCACTGCTCCCCCATGCGCTTGAATTATCTGCATAAAACAATACATCTTGGCCATTCTGATCCAGAGAAGCATGACATAAAGGTCACTTTGAAATCCTGCGAGAATGCACTTAATCGCCAAATCTCAGAGATCTAGTAGTTTTCGTCCATTACATTTCTTCATTTTCTTAAGCATGTCCCTGAGCACTACAGTATACCCATTTACCATTGCATTTCTTTGTGGCTCACTTAGGTTTTCCAAGATTTCTAATTTACCTTGATTCAACTTGTAATATATTTGCCACTAGATGTCTGGTCTACGTGATAAAAAAAAAGACATCGTTTTAGGTACTTACTCTCTTCCAAGTTGCGAGTAATTGTTTGTCAGACATCTGTTCTGGATAATCAGCAATGCCAAAAACACAGCCGATTAGGAAACTCTCCTCAGGAACTAGGAAACAAAGAATTAAACAGTTGAAATAAAGCACATTTTAAACAAGGTCTGAGCTAAATGTAACAAACACAGATACTCCTTCTTTGTCATATTTGGCCTCATGCAACAATTATTCTGTGGGCCTAATCACATCTATCTAAATATCATAAACCTAATTATTTTCTTAATCCCAAAACAATAAAACAATTAAATATGCAAAAGGTTATTGACCAAAACACATTTGAGGTCACGATTTCTGAAATTTCTTCTACTGAGAGGAACCACAGCAGTGAGATGGACTAGTTCAGTCTTAAACAACAAACAGAATGGGATGAGACTGTGGGAGAAGTCATCAGAAACTTCTAAATGTCAGTCTAAATCCAAAATGTCTGCTCCCAACTGAACTGCCTTAGAAGAAATGAAAGAAAATTAAACATGTCATACAGTATATTTCCAGGGCAAGCGTACAGACCTTTCTGTCTCTCCGCTAGGAAGAGCCAGTGAACCATTCCATGTGTCACAATAAGAAAGTACTATTCTGCCCATTCTGCACCACAACAGCTGTAGCGGTGGCCCTGTTTTAATACAAATCTTCTAGCACCTTGCTTAATCTAAGCTGCCAATACCAGTCCTCATGTCCATGAACTTGTAACTATAACAGAAATGGATTCAAATCGATACAGTTGCAAAATTAGCATAAAATTGCTAGACTTACTGTCGACTCCTGGATCATGCCCAAAGAGCTGATTCTGCTGAAGGGGCTGCAGTGGCACCTGCTGCTGCTGCTGTGGCTGGAGATGCTGTGTAGTGTGTGGCAACAGCTGTTGAGGGGTCTGATTCTGGAGATGCTGCTGCTGCTGATGCTGCTGCTGCTGCTGCAGCTGTTGCTGCATGTGCTGCTGCTGCAGCTGCTGCTGCAGCTGCTGCTGCTGCTGCAAGAGATGTTGCTGATGCTGCTGATGCTGCAGCTGCTGCAGCTGCTGCTGCTGCTGCTGCTGGTGGTTTTGCTGCTGCTGCTGCTGCTGCTGCTGCTGCTGCTGCTGCAGCTGCAGCCGGTGCAACTGCTGCTGCAACGCATGCTGCTGCTGCAGCTGCTGCTGCAGCTGCGGCCGGAGCAGCTGCTGAGGTCTCAGCTGCTGCTGCTGCTGCTGCTGCTGCTGCTGCGTGAACTGGTGGGTTTGCGGCGGTGGCGGCGGCTGCTGCTGCTGCTGCTGCCCAAACTGGTGCTGCTGCTGCTGCTGCTGCTGCTGCTGCTGACTGAAGAGCTGCTGGTGGATCTGCTGCTGGTGGGGCTGCTGTAGGAACTGGTGCGCCTGCTGAGGCGCCTGGGGGAACGCCTGCTGCGCAAGATGCTGCTGCGGCTGCTGCAGCTGCATGAGCTGCGGCGCCTGGAGGTGCAAGAGGGGATGCTGTTGGGGCAGCTGCTGAGGGTGAAGCTGCTGCTGCTGCTGCTGCTGCTGGACCTGATGCGATGGCGCCTGCTGCTGCTGCTGCGGCTGCTGCTGCAACAACTGCTGTGCTTCTGCCGAAAGCTGCTGCTGCTTCACTTGGTTGAGCAGGAGAGGATTTGCGTGGCCCTGCTGGCTCTGATTCGCTTGCTGTTCCAGTGATTTTGTTGGAGCTGAAAGGCTCTGTAAGATCTGAAAAGGAATTGATATTTGGGGAAAAAAAAAGAAAAGGTTTTAAGCATCAGGCTGACATATTCTGAACTTCCAGCACTGGAAAAGAAAAAACGAACATCAAAATAGACCGCACAGCTTCCGCTTTCATTTCCTCTCTTCAGGATTTAATCAGCTGCAAATGTAATAAATACACACACTCTTGAACGTCTGTGAAAATCGGAACATTCCGGTAGCGCCACTTCGAGAGACGTCGGCGTCATCGTTAGGACTCCATTTTTGATATGCCACGAAGTATAAATTGTGAATTTCTTTGGCGAGTTTGTGAAGAGAAATAAAGGTGACTGGTACATATCGGTTTCATTTTTTTTTTTATCAGGTGTTTTGGGGTTCTTTATCAAACGAAACCAACTGCAGTGACAGATGGATCTTTGTACTAACACTCTCACAGCAAACAGAACAATGTGTTATTTGTTGGACATGACTGGAGTTGCGTGCAGGTCTCTGGAAACATATCCTGACAAAGTAGTAATTTCAACTGGTTTCACTGCATTTTGGTGTGTGTCTGCAATTGCTCTATTAGTAATTTCAGCTGCTTTCACCAAATTACTCTATGGGTCTGCAAATCCTTTTAATTTTATAGAAACCATGAAAATAAGGAAGTTCATACTCAGGTTAAGATACAGATGGTTAAAAAGAAAAAGAAAAACAGTTTCTTAGGGACTTAGTATTACAGATATGACCTAAAAATCTAAAGCCACAGACGTAAAATAAAAACAACAGCATCAAGATAAATGCATTAATTTCTTTCATTATTCCTCCACTTCTCCCGATTCTGCAGACCTCTGGTTTCTTTATCTGTTAACTACCACAATGAAATAGTGTCTAAGAAGGACTGGCAGCTTGAATGAGAAAAAATTAAAGGAATTCTACAGTGTTTGACTGACTTTAGTTTCAACCCTGCGCATCTGTAATTTTCTTCCCCTAATGAGCTTTGTCAGAATCTGAAATACCAGACTAGCACAACAAACACAAATTGGATCACAAATGCAACAAAAATGTAAAAAATATACAAAATTCCAATAAGAAAGACTAATAAGAAGTTAGTCCAATAAGAAGGAGACTAACGTGTTCAAAAATAGCTTTGCATTATCTCTACACATAGAGTAACATGTAGAAAGGCAGAACATTTCTTTCACTACTTAGAGGTGAACATATTCACTGATATAAGCTGTGAAAGAAAAAAGCAACACATTCTATAAATCGTAACATGAATATAAAATGATTACTTAACTGTTAACATAAAATGAACAACAAGTGACTCTGTTTAAGTACAGCTAATGATTTGAAACGGACACCAATTACCCTCTACCAACAAGATGAACAACTCGGCAATCAATCTTAAAGTGATTGCATTGCTGTCTACAGCTGATCGTTAATAGCAGTGTGACCACTTGATTACTCACAATGTCAGGAAAATTGGAAGTGTGAAATCAAAGCTAAACTCACTCGTGTTAATCTTCATAAACAGTTTAAATGTTGCCATTTTAATGGCTCCTAATGTCAAAGTTAATGAAAGCAGACTTTAATGAAGGGTTTTCACATTTTAATTAAAATTTGCATTTTGTACGCAACCATGGACAGAAAAAAAAACCATAGACAGCCATAACAGTGCCTGGTGAAAATAATGAAATATGCCTTTAAGCACAAAACCATGACAAATGGTGAACGGGCCAGAGAATGAATTCTCTCCTCACACTCATAATTAAGACAGATTTGTTTTCAGATGCCACTATTAAGGAAAAGCAATAATCTTAACTGAAAACAGCATTATTCCTTAAAGTCATTCTAAGCACACATATTTCACTTTTACGTTAACTGAATCCTCCAATTATAGAATTACTAACATCCCATCTTTTTGAGATTTGCTCAGACAATTTCTCAATTTTCGTGTAAGAAAAGAGGACTATAGCAGAAAAAAAATATTCCTCATTACACATGCTTTTTTAATCAACCACTAATCCACAAATAATACCTGTGAAACAAAATATTCTAAAACTTTATCAGAACAACATTTCTGGGTTTCACAAAAAGCCAAGAATGAAACTGATTTTTTCAAACATAACTGGATATACAGGACAATACTCCAATCAAAAGCAGCTCAAATAACAGCCATTTCCTTCATTTTAAAATGTTTTTTCAATGTCAGACAGCAGTTAGCCAAACTTCATCCTTGCATCCTTTGTTTTCCAAGACAAGCAGACATAAAAGACATAAGTACATAAAAGCTGCTGTTTATTTAAAAAAAAGATTGAATAACAAGCTATTTCTAAAACAACTTCATTTTTCTCTTAACCCATGAACTTCACCTTGCTATGAAAATCAAGCATCCGTTTCAGTTACTTTCCATTTGCATCACTGCGAGACGTAACTGTATCTTAGCAAACAGTCAACATGGATTTAGAAAAGTAAAAGAAGTAAGTCTTGTCTACACAACTTGTTGGAGATCTTTGAACTTTTTAGAAGGCCTTTGGTTTAGTTACATAAAAGTTAATTTCACTCAAATTTCAGGTAGTTTGCATTTAGTGAAATCTGAGCATAAGGACTGAGATTAGGCAGATGGAGTACAGATTTATGGAGTACCACAGGGATCAATACTAGGACCTCTGCTCTTCCTATAATAGTCAAAGAGCTGGATTCTGGTATACTTAGTAAACCAGTCAAAGTTACAGCTGATACCAAATTAGGAGTGTAATCAAACACTGTAGAAGCAGCAGCAAATGCAATTGAAAAAGATGCAGATAAAATTCCAGAGTGAGCAAACACCTAAAAGAAGATTAACATAGACAAGTTTTGCAGGGTTTTGTGGGCAGGTAGTAAAAATAACCTGCGAAAAGCTCAAAGGGGAAACAATGAGATAGAAGAGGCTTCTAGATTTAGTCAGTTATGTAGACGTGCCGTTTAAGTCTTACAGACAATGTTGGGAAGCAATAAAAATGAAGATCTGCACTTGTAAAGTGACACATTAAGGCTTCCACATAACACATGTATGTAAAGCATGCTTTTGCTTTTCATCTTTTGTGAATATGATGATTTGTCACGTGTCCCTTTTATCTACACGCATCTCATCCCTACAGAACCTGTTCTGAACGAGACCCCAGGAGTAGCCTGTTGGGAGAAGATGACGAAACCCAGAACAGCACCGGCCTGCACATACAGTAGCCACATGCAGCTGCACTCCCCTTCACTTAAGTGCACTGCTGCAAAGTGCTCTCAAGACTGAAGAAAGCCTATACAGAAGATGCAATTATTGCTGCCCCAAGGTTGAGCAACACAGCCTCCCTGTTAAGAAGCTGCTTCTCACAAAAACATCTTCAAATACAGGACACATCACAGACGAAGGAAAATGAAACACACACGGGTCGAACAAGGCATCAGAAAACGCACAATAACTCGCTTCTGCTATAGATACTTCTGGGCTTTTTTCTTTATGTATAAGCTTCAATACAACACACAACGAGTACAGGAAAACTTTTAGGACAAAGGATGGGTGAACAAAGTGAGGATGGAAAAAAAAATCATGTATCCGTGTGGATAAATAAAAAATATATGTACAGGATGCACTTCAAGTCCTCTCAGCATGACCGCCGATATCAGGACTTCAAAAGCCACCTTCACAAGACCACATCTCAGTGAGAGCAAAAACATCTTCATGCAGCCTCCCCCAATTTGTCGGTATAGCTGGAGAGGGATAGTTTTTTTTGTACACTGTGTTTATATATAGACACAATAAAGCCGCAGGTGGTACAAAGCTTGGCTCAGGTAAACTGATAAAATCAGGCTGCTCCTATTCAGATTCAGTTAAGCTCCTTAAAAAAAAACTTCCACAGTGAAGCAACCATCAGAGAATTCCCCCAAAATACTAATTCAATAAAACACCATCTCTTCACGTGAAAAAAGGGGGAGTTTAATGTAGGTTAACTGGTTAACATAAGGGTGGACAACTCCTGTCCTTGACAGCCAGAATCCTGCGTGCAGGTTTAATTAGGATGCTTCTATGAGGAGCTGCTAAATACGCAGGCACTTTGTCTTCTTACTGACTAATTAGTTCAACAAGGTAATTAACATGAGAGCTGGGATTAAAAGCAGAGGAGTGCCCTCCACATTACCAACATCAGGTCATTACCACAATCGGACTGCGACAGTAACAGCTTTAAAGATGATACAACTTGTAATACCACCTAGTCCTTAAAACAAGCAAGTTTCCTTTCCAGATTCCTAAGCGCTCTAGACTTACTAAGGGCAAAGACCAGCCCAGATTGCTTGTGTATTAAATCACAATCGCCATGCTCATGGTTTGGTTTCTATATGAAATATACATGAAGTCACAGCTGAAAGAATAAACAGGAGAAGTCTATAATAATAATAATAATAATAATAATAATAATAATAATAATAATAATAATAATAATTGCTTACACTTATATAGCGCTTTTCTGGACACTCCACTCAAAGCACTTTACAGGTAATGGGGACTCCCCTCCACCACCACCAGTGTTCAGCCCCACCTGGATGATGCGACAGCAGCCATAGTGCGCCAGAACGCTCCCCACACACCAGCTCTCACTGGGGAGGAGAGCAGAGTAATGTAGCCAATTCAAAGATGGGGATTATTAGGAGGCCATGGTTGGTAAGGGCCAATGGGGAAATTTGGCCAGGACGCCGGGGTTACACCCCCAGTCTTTTCGAGAAACGCCCTGGGATTTTTATTGACCACAGAGAGTCAGGACCTCGGTTTTACGTCTCATCCGAAGGACGGCGCCTGTTTACAGTATAGTGTCCCCGTCACTATACTGGGGCATTAGGACCCACACAGACTGCAGGGTGAGCGCCCCCTGCTGGCCCCCACTAGCACCTCTTCCAGCAGCAACCTTAGTTTTTCCCAGGAGGTCTCCCATCCAGGTACTGACCAGGCTCACACCTGCTGAGCTTCAGTGGGTTGCCATTTGTTGAGTTGCAGGGTGATATGGCTGCTGGCTGTGACGCATTGCTTTGATTGTTTAAGAAATGTCACTTTCTTGAAACTGCATCCTAACACCCTGGGAACAAGAAGCCACCTGGCAGCTTGGAATGTCGTTTCGGGAGACTGGGTCTCCAGTCACTGCAATCTCTCCACGTTTGCCGTGATGGCCATCTCTTCAAAAACCCCAACCACTTCTACAGACATGAACCTTAGTAAGGGTCATGCATAATCCTTTAGTAAATTCCAATTGACTGCATTTAAATAGGAAAGGGGTCCCAGTTTATTAACCAATGAAGTGTACCGGCATCCATTAAAGGGGAACGGCAGCCTGAATTTCTTTGACCGTTATTTCGGTAACAAAATAAGTTCATTGACGATATAGAAAGATTTCACCAATTTCAAATGAAACACAAAATCATGAACTCTTTAAGTACTGTCAGTTGCCCCTGGTCTCACCTCGGGCAAGCGCGAGAGTTCCCACGAGTTGTGTGACCTGATGCGACCCTTCCTGCTCCCTAGTCACCAGAATGACTGATGTTGTGATGCGATGTGCGAGGGAATAAGTACAAACTGTGCAGCAGATATTTGTCCTCAGAAATGTTCCGACATGATCTGCGTGCAGAGCTGACAAATAAGTTCCATTTATCGGCAAAACGGTCTTGAAGTCGAGCACAATATTTCTACTGGATTAAAAGAGATGTATTCACAAGCCTGCTTTTTTTACAATGTAATAGGGCCACTTCACCTCACCAGAAGATTTGTTGCCTTATTCAGAATCACAGAATATGGTGCTGCACAAACCTGGAAATTTTGTGATGTAAATTGGAGGTTTTACAAGTTACTGTGTATGTTTTTCTTTTATTGTGGTTCTAAATGCACCCTCCAATCAATGCTAATTCTAAGCCCGAAAGATAAAAATAGCATCGCAGCTCTCCTTTAAGCTCCAACAGGCCTCCTACAGAGCACATCAGGAGGAGGGAGAAGGTTCTTCACTCCTTGAATTAAGGGGAAAACCTAATGTAACAAACGTGTTTAAACACAGGACTCAAAATGATCCAGGACACTGGGCTTCTCACTTCTGCTCTTACAAACAGAGTAAATACTGTACCGCTCTGGTCACATAATTCACAAGTGTGAAAAGTAATGATTAATCCTGACACTGTTAACCATATTACATTATAGGAGGCAATGTTCACAAGTGATTAATTTAAAACACTGATGTAGCCTTTCTTGACACAACTCCAATTGGGAGTTAGGCAATCACATAAAATTCGCCAGCAACAGTTCTCGTCTTTTTGACGCGTTAAAAACCGAAACGAGAAGAAAAATCATTTTAAGCCTCTTGTGGCTCACAACTCCGCACACATTTGACTGATAAAATATCCGAATTCATGTTTTATTAATGCAAGTCGGAAACAGAAATATATCAAATTTGTACTGTGACTGGTATAATAATATTTTACTGTATGCATTTTAAACATGTCTGTGATCTCTATTTACAATGTTGTCATGGCTTGGGTAACTGGTTGTGTGAGGTTTCCCTTGCCAGCTGGGCGTCTTCCTCCCGACTCTGTCTTTTCCTCTTCCCTTCCTCTCTCATCACTCTCGCCTACTGTGTGACTCTTCTCCCAGCTCAGCTTTCAGTGGTATATTTTTCACATGAGCAATTTTCCGTTATTTTTTCATCTCAGGATTCAAGGTAAACGACATTCTGTTTCACAATTACATGCTCGGACTTTTAAACACTGCATTATCATTTACTTCGTTCACATTTAATTTCCAATTAAAGAATGTCCAATAGCTTTTATGCGCGTCACGTAATTCCTGTGTAATCTGGAAAAGAAACCCAAAGGTATTTATTTCTCCAATTCGGGACTAACATAATGTATTTTATAGTCGCAGACGAGAGTGAGAATCCTCTCCTCTCCAACACTTTTATGCACAGTTTAAGTGCAATGAATTCTGCTCGGTAAACTAATCTTTGTAATGACCTCTGTTTTATGTTGATATGAGGCACACTTATTCCAAAACAGTAGCAATAGCAACTATTCACTCAATGTCGACACAGTTTTTTTCCCTGCACTAAAAATTACAATAGTAATAGCTGAGAGCAAGGTGACCCACTCAATTAGAAGAGAATCTAGAATTGCCAATTCTGCTTTAAAATCTGCACTGCTTTTGTGGTCCTGCTTTTCAACAACAAGATCTTTTAACACAAAGCAAATACAACTTTTGCACCCACTGCAGGTTATCAGACTCTGTCAATCGTTAGGAAAATCTTTTTGTACCGTAAGGTGGATTTTCCAGATTGTGCATACCAGATTGTGTGTGCTATATCGCGTAGCCACCAAAGCAAGAGGTAAATCTCAAACATGCACGCTAACCTCTGCCACGTTGCAGCTGGTAGAACACCCTTGAGGACACAAAACATGCTCAACATTCTTGAAGTAAGAGAAGACCAATAAGAAAGTTCAAGTCGAATGTGTTTTATAGGCGCAGACAAGTGTTATATGAACACAGTAAAACATACAAGGCATTTCTGTGTTTCTGAGCCCAACCAAAAACACTTTCATACCTCAGCTAAATAAAGCAAAATATTTCAATAACGCTCATTTAAAGATCCGGGCAAGAAAAACTCAGATTCAATCTACGGCTGCCATATACATTAAAATACCATTTGACAAAAGGTTTTCTACTTACATGTGCAACATTTGAGGGCCGGGTGACCTGCTGAATGTCAGCGTTATTTGTAATATTCCTCAGCGTCCGGGCAGCAGGATTCCAGGAACCCAGAAGTTCTGGTCTCTCCGGGCCTTGTGTGCCCTGCCCCGACGCCACCAGGTTATTCCTTGCCTCTGGGGGCAGAACGGAGCCCGGTACTGGAGGCACGATGGCACACAGGTTGATGAGGCCCGAGTCCTTCCCATGGGGCAACCGGCGTTTGGCGGTAGCAGTCTGGGGCAGCTCAGCCGGGGTCCAGTTCAGATTCCGCTCCTGTTTTTCCGGCGAGGAGTCCGAGGAATCGTCGAACATGATCTCTTCCTTCTTCCCAGGCTTCGGGGAGAACCCGCGGCCGCTCAGGGGAGAGTCCCCGAGGGACGAGGCCCGACTGGACTTCCTGGAACGGTTGTCGATGTAGCTGCCGTCGGACTGGGAGCCCCGGTCGTACTCTTCGTCGCTCTCGACCTCCTCCTCCTCCTCCTCCTGGTAGGTCAGCCGTGGATGATAGGGCACCTCATCCTTCCGGGTTTTATCGGAGACGGAGTCCAGGACCCACTCCGGCGTCACAATTTGAATGCTGCTTTGCTTCAGCGCACATTCATACTTCTCCTGAAACGTGGAAAATACAAAAAATAGACAAGGCTCATTGACTGCACACCAGGCGCAAGAAATTAAAAACTTCTTAAAGGCAGCCTGATGGGCAGTGAAACGCAGAAAGTTCCTTTAAAAAAATAACAAAAAGCAATCAAAACAATCTGACTTTTGGCAGAACAGTTTTAATACAAAACAGGCAAAAAGTGCGTGTAATGTTTTAGTAGAAGATTTTGTTGTCCGAATAAATTCTACACGAGTGCATGTAATGGACATTAAACTAAAAAAACAACCAGGTAAAGGTTGAAGAACTGGTTCAAAACCTGTAGCCACTTTAAATGGAGATTTGTACTTAAAAATGGATTTTCAACCGTTACTGGACAGATTTGTAGTCATTTGAAGGTATTATTGTATAGGATACAGCTGTCAGCGTGTAGGGTTACTGTCTGAAGGGCCTGTGTTAAAGTGACCCTGATCACGGCAATAAACACTTATCACTCTTCCTGCAATAACTGCAGAAAGAAAGCAGGGCTTTGCCTATGGCTAATAAAACAGAAAAGCTAGACATGTCCTGGGAGGCATCTCAATGATGGCTACAATGGACAGCTTTTATCCCTGCTTCACATTATCACCACCTACCATCAGCCAAATGTCCCATTAAGTCCACTAGTATACAAGGCAGACAGTGCAGTTAAGATGAGGCTTGCTGTTCCCATTTCCTCTGTGTAACCGGCAATAAAAAGAGACTTTAAGGGCTGTTTTAGAGAGGTAATTTGCACTGGCACTCAAGTTGGTAAGATACAACAGATGGTAGATTTAAACAACTAACACAATAAACCAGTGGCTAGTAAAGCAACACCTTATTGAAACCGGGGTATACAAGCCAGCCCCAGATATGCACTGCTGCCAAATACTTTCTCCTAGTCTGAAAAGCGTGAACTTTCTACTATTTGTAATGTTGTCTGCATAGGACGTGTCTTAGTAACTTGGTGAAAGTTCAGCGGTTCAAAACAGAGTCTTCTTCATATGCTGATTTTTTTTAGGTCAGAGACAAATTGTTTCACTACTTTACTTCACACACATCAGTTACAACAGGGGGACTCAGTACTGGCGAGAACTGGCCCGGTACTGGCACAGACAAAACTGTGCGGAAAACAGGATTGATTGATTGAAAATGGTTTTTCTATTTTACGAAGCATAATGTCTATAATTCGCTTGTGGCTTTTGTCAGAAGGAAGAAAAATCTTTTTGAAAATCTATTATCTTTGAACCAAAGATAGACAGCTGGGAATATCTTTTATTTGTTATCTTTTACAAACGAGATACAATTATATCTTCTATTTTACCAACCTAAATCTCTCTTTGCCGACAAAGTCCCAAAAAGGGTATAGTATTTGAATATGAACAAAGTAATAATGATATAAATAATAACAATACTGAAAGCCTTCCCTAAGGCTTGTGTTTGTATTATCTCAAACAAGCAGCAAAAGCTTTATGCATGATTGATCTTCTAGAACTGATTGATCTTCTGCATGACTGATCTTCTAGAACTTCTTTACCAGGGAGGTTTGGCCCATTCATTAACCACAGTTTCTGAACTAGTTTTTTTTATTTAGTGTTGAATTTGTGTGACCTGATGTGGCACCAAAGTTTATACTGCAATAACAATAACACAAAAACACATAAAAACTAATAAAACACACTGCGACCCTGTCGTCTCAAATTTCAACAAACTGAAAAGGGAATCACTATCAAGAGATTTACAATACAAAATTGTAAAAACAACCGTGCTGAAAGTTATATGTTTTCCTAATGACAACATCTTCAAGAAAGTACTCTTTCAGAATAAAAGATAATACAATCCAAAAAGCTGTAATTCAAATGTAATTTAAACATTGAACAGCTTCTTGTGTGTATTAAATAAAAAATAAAACTAACACCCCCATTCAGAAATGTTGTCTTGTTTGGTCCCACTATGCTGTTTTCAAAAGTCTTACATTCAGTAATTTACTACAGTACTAGACTTTGCACAAAGAAAGTAGGCTTGTTGGATTTGGGTTTCCTTTTAGGAAATATCACAAGTTTTTCCTCATCCTGCATTCAAGTGTGGGTTCACCACAACCTTGAATCTTATTTATAAAAATCCTCAGTAATTTCCCTCCGTAATACAAAAATAAGGAATCGCTGATCATGTCGAGCGATTTTCTGCGACACCTTAAAAGAAGCACTGAAAAAACAAACCGGGTTTTTTAAAATTGTGATTCCGGACACAAGCACAGAAGACTGGAAACTCTTTTTCAAGTGAGGTGAATTTGCACTGTGCCACACACAATTCTGTAAACCAACAGACAAATACGTTGAAACAGCAGCCATACAACACAGACATCCTTACAACACACAAGAAGGAATACATTACACTGATATAATTACCCCTTTCGGCTCTGGGACAATTAAATGAGTACACTTCTTATTGAGATTCAGCTGACACTCTCCCCCATAATAGGTTACCAAAGCCCACAGTGGATTTCGGTCCTCAGGTATCTGCAGCAACAGACAAAAAGAAAAAATCTGTCATTCGGAGAAGGTATTTTATCCTGTACTAATCAGCGGTTCCATTTTTTTACCTTGACGATTTTTAGATATTATGGTAATGAAGGATGTACTGCATGTGGCAAGATAAAACATGAAGCCATTCTGACTGTACAGTTTAGTGACCAAGTGAATCTAAACTTCTGACCAGTTTCTTCTTGAAGAGGCCCTGCTTTCAGGCATCACAATCAACTGGCTGGGAAACCTGTTCCAGATACCCACGATGTTTAGTCGAGAAAAAGTATTTCGTACTCCCCGTTTTAAAACAAGTTTCGCTTCCGAACCCCCATGCGAGTGTGAACTAATCCAATGAGATGGCACTATCTAGAGCTCTTTTGGTTTTATATGTGGGATCTCTTTTGTTCTAGACTGAAAAATCTCACTCATTCATGCCAGTCTTGGTGTTATGTCACTATGCTAAATGAGGTCTTACAAATAGCACATATTTAAGCACATATTCCACATATTATGCGGTTAAGCATCCGGCTTGCTTTGATTGTTCTAAACAATGGCTTTCTGAGCACATACAGTACAAGAATAAACACTCAGGCCTCTTTCATCTGTTACCCATCTATGGGTATAAATGAAGAGAAAGACCTTCAAGCTTGAGATTCGTTAAAGGTCATCTTACAGTTTTTGTTCCTAATGGAACCACTCAGAGGATGTTCTGAGGAACAGACTGAAAACTGTAAACTCAGTTTAAACCACTCCAGTCCTACCTAATCTCCACATAAGCAAATGCAAGTCTTGAGGCTAGTTTATAAATTGTGGCCAAAAGTATCTAGTTTTGGTGAACTGGTCTGTCTCTAAAGAATAACTTACACCTTATCACCAAGTTCAGAGACTGAAACATCTTTGGAGTTCAGTGGCTGTAACCAGAAAAAAAAAAAACTACTGACCTTGGGCAGACATGCAGTGACACCGAAGAAAATCTGTCCTGATTCTGGAGAAAACCCAGTGACACTACATAAATTTCATTAAGGAAAAATAAACAAGAAAGAGGAGTAAAACAGGCTGCACTTTACATTTACTTGGATAGTCCAGATAATATCTGCCTTGAGTGCACTAGAGGCGAGCCTTTTTATTATCTGTTGAAGATACGTTTATAGACCTTTCCTTTCACCTCCGATAATCTCATTTCAAGCAGCATGATTTTTCAGAAAAACTGTCTGAAACATTAAAATCCTGCCTATATTAGACAGCAGAAAGCTGGGAGAGAAAGCTTAGTGATCAAAGAGTCCCACCAAAAGACATGAAATCCAAAGGCGAACACATGTTTATTGTTCTCTATAACTAACCTTATTTACACAAAAGCAACTTTATGACTTGTTCTGTCAGAAGTTACTAAATACTGTCAAATAATGTTTGCAAAGGATGTAATTATCTTTTAATCTCCAATGACCTAAAACATGTCTTAAGTGCATGCATGTTAAAAATAAGTTTAAATCGTCTCGTAAGGCAGCTTATAAAGCTCTGCATTGACGTCATGACAAACAAGTATTGATTAATTTATTGATTAAGTCACACATCGGGATCAATGCTTCCACTGTCAAGGGACAGAAAAGGCTGATTTCGTCCGAGTTAAATGTTATTTGCAATTTGTAACAAACTACACGGAAAACAGCATAAAAACAATTTCTCATTTATATTTATGTAAATGTATTAAATGAAAATTTAAATACGTGTTCATATGTATGTTCAAGCACTCAAATATATCTCAATCTACCACTACTACAACTTTATATGTTTAGGCAACATAACACTTTGCAGATATTTCCTGCTCATGAAAATCTTGACCTTAAACAGTGCACTACTCATTTACAAAACCCAACAAATTTCAATGTCCGTTTTTCCAAGGAAGAAGAAATCACATCGTTCCTACAGATGCCCTTATGATAAGACTGAGCAAAAGGATACGGCAGAAGATCCCCACATCGGACAGACAAGATCACCCAAGAAGGCTGCAAGACAAAACAAAGAAATACATCAGTTATACTGCTACCAGACTCTCACAGGCAACTCGGCACATTATAGAACTTTTCAGGAAGATTGAAATCACCTGCAAAAAAATGACAGGGCTACAATACACACAGATGATAAGAGAAGAGGGGAGGTGTTACAGTTTTGAATTTTGAAATTTGAAACTAAAAATCGAATAATGTCGGGGTATGCTGTCTGTTTCTTGACCTGCAAGGCAAATGCTGAGATATGAAAAAGTGACAGATGCTTTTAAAGGTGAACACAGCAGGAAAGGGGCTTCAACAAGAAAAGAAAACAGGCACATCAACTGGAGGACTAAGAGCAACCAATTTCAAGAAAGACTGTTGGACTTGCTAACCTCTAAGAAATGTTATCATAAACTTTTAAGTTTAACACAGTTAAAGCAAGCAAAACAAAACTACCTGAGGAAAACAATGGTATCTGAGGGGCTTGGACAGTTGACTGGGATAAAATATGAACAAACTAATCTGCACAACACCAGCACAGAGAAGCTGAGAGAAAGGAGTTGGTTCCAGACTGAGGGAAAAAGCAAGATAACAACAGTACAACACTATACTATACAGCACTATATAACTTTAATACTATACCATACTATACCAGGATGCAGCTCAAAACAGTGGACTTCACATCATAAACACAAAACACACATATACAAGGCTTTAGAATGCACAGCCTTTTGTATGAATCAAATGTCACCAATACTAATTCAGTCCAAAATGGCTACAGAACCTTCAATAGAAGTAAGCACCCCAAGAGCTTGATACCGGTAATGAAGTTTGATTATGAAGTTTCCATTGCAGGGTTAGAGTTTATAAATGCCACTGTTACAGAAAACGGGTTTTAATATGAACATAAGCGTCTTTACAAACAAGATCAATCAATGAATTTGGCGTCTCGTACCTTAACAACAGGCAGATCAAAGACCTCCCGTGATTCTCCAACTTCAGGGTTGTCCCCATCCTCCGCGATGATGTGCGTAGCAAGGGCATTGTAAGACACCTCCTTGGCTTTTCCAGCCTTCAACAGCTGCACTACCTACGGGTAGACAAGATTTATTTGAAATGCTCCATTTTCTATTGCTACTGCTTTGTTTTATGCTCGCTGTGACCCTGACGATAAGGCATAATGTAGATTAATGTAGATTGCCCAATAACCGACATTTTAACTCTTCTTTACCTGAAAGGTAATGGGACACTTCCAAATGAAAAAGAAAAACTACACAGAATTGTTCTTATTCCGATCTGCTCAGATGTCAGGTAGTATTTGCTTGATGTTCCGTAACACTACGTACAACGCATTTGGCTGCTGTGAATGAAGATTTCTGGGAGCAAAACAAGATCGCAATATTGCAACTGATAACCCTAAAGACTTCAAAATGCGGACGAGTATGGTTCATCAAAAATGCAACTGTGATTATCTCCAGCAAAGTCTCAGCTCTGTGTAAAAATCGGGTATTATTACGACCTGTACGGCATAATCTGAACTGCACTGTACCGTATTAAAACTCCAACAGGAGAGCTAACTATATGGCAGGAAGTGTCAACAAGCAACATCCGGTAACCACTTCCATCAAACCCAATGGAAGGACAAACTCTGCGCAAGCTCAGTATGACGCCCACAATTTTGCAAGGTGTTTGAATTACTTGATGGCAAAATACACAAATTAAACAACCCTCGGCTGAAATTGAAGCTCCAGATTTACAAACCCTTACTAGTAGAGCGCACAGACATTTAAAACACGTGTTTCAGCCCTGCCGTTTACCATGGAAGATAAAGACGGGACAAATAACCTGGAGGCCCGTTTGCAAGGAGAAAAGGCACCACAGATCTGTGCAGAGAAGGCATCTACAAACTGATCCAGATCCTTACAATTACCTCTGAAAACGAAAAAGTAGAATATTTTCATTCCCTTAAAAACCCGCTTGCAGCACGAGAGAAAAAAAGCGCATCGCTCATTTGCTCTTCTACAACTGTGCTCTCAAATCCACACTCACACACAAGAAATAATATAATCCCTTTTCACCTTTTGGTCAATATCTCCCACCACGTAGAACTTAACATCTTTAAAAAGCTCGTCGGGAACCTTCAGCTCTTCATCTGGCATATTTTGGTATCTTTAAAAAATATATATACCCTTAAAATCACAAAACTCGAGAACAACATAGAACAAGAGAAAGTTAATTTGGTCTATCTCTTCCTCTAGCTCAAGCGCCAAACACAACTCAGCGCGCCTTTGGAAGCCCGCACTCGCCTGTAAGGGGGAGGCTATACGGTTAACTTTGCTAAATGTGATTTTTCTTTCTCTGTAATGCACATGTCTTTTCATATTTTGTATTATTTTTACATGAGCATATCATGGGTACAGTCAAAGCTTGTTATTTTTTTCCAATCATTGTATTTGATCTTCTGTTTTGAAGGTCGCCGTCCCCTTCAGATGAGTGAGACCTCTTATTGTAGGCGGAGCAATTAGTTCCCTCCCAGATTTTCGAGTGCTGCTGTGGCGCGCCGCTTGGTCCATTCACATTAAACTGCGCGGTGACAGAGCAGCTGGATGTTCTGTGCTTTATAGATGTATGTACTGTACTGTTCGCGACTGAGCCTTTGAATAGGTATTGCTGGGTTTTTTCCCCCACCTAGTATCACAGCGCTACCCTATTTTTTTATTTCAGATAAGAAAACGAGTAAAACAATTTAGATTTTAATTTATGCACGCATGTATCAAGTTTCAAAATAAACTTTTCGGTTTTATGCGTGTATGTTTTTAAAAAAACAAACTTTATTGACCAAAAAAATCACTAAATTGGGTTCAGGCTAACATTGGCATTGTAAACTACTGCTGCTTCGGATGCGTGTAGTAACGTCGAACAACGTGCCGTACCTACATGTAGAATGAATGCATGTTTAACGCATCAACAACATTACAATACATGGCATAAAGGAAATAATAATAAAAAAATATAATTATTGTTATTATTATTTCTGGACACTCCAAAGCGCTTTACAGGTAATAGGGACTCCTCTCCACCAATGTGTAGCCCCCTCCTCGATGATGCGACGGCAGCTGAAGTGCGCCAATACGCTCACTTTACATAATGACCAATAACCCCCACCACAGCTAGTTCGACTTCAGAAAACTGTCACAGCGTTATTTCTACTGGAGCAGAAAAAGCTGATCTCCAGTAGGCGAAGGTTACCTTTTTTCACATTTAAAATGGAGGACACTTGCCAATGTTATTTATTGTTTATTAGATTTATGGCGGCCATAAATGTACATTCACTCAAGAGGAAACTCCATAGACAAGGGGTGGGGAAGTGTGTTGGTGATATTTATACTAGAATATATTTGTTCATGAACCATTTCAGATCAAGTCAGAAAACCTTTGTAACCCTACAATAGGTCATGACACCTCTACTGTATTCTCCCTGTGTCACTGTGACATGATACCAGACATTTCCCAATCTTCCTCGTAAGACAAGCTTACCAAATTCATTTCCCAGAGGGCTTAACATGTGCTGGTTTTTCACCCAAACCTGATGATAAAACAGGGCTTCACACTGTTCTGTTTTTCTTTTGGGGGAGGGGACAACACAATCCGAAAGGAAAGTATTTTTGTCTATTCAATAGACTTTTTTTCTTTTCTCACAGCATCTTAAACTTTAGAAACTTTAGAAACTGCTCTTAAAGTGCTGTAGATCTACAAAATATGTAATTCGCTGTGCTTTTAATACACTTAAGATTCAATCATGAGAGTGAAATTGCAGTGACCTAGAATTGACTTTGTAGTTTTCTGTGTGAATCTGCTACTTAGTATAGTTGCTAGGTATTGTTCTCTCAAATAAATGTCAGAAATGTAACTTGTTCTGCTGTTTATGGATGGACATCCATTGATAGGATAAGCTATTGGGACTCTCACCAGACATCTGCAGTGAGAAGCCTCTTCAGAACACAAGACTTAACAAACCCAACTTCAGACCAAAACTCCCAAGAGAAACAAAATATCAGCAATCAGTCAGATAAGATCATGTTAAACCTCGTCTCTCCATTACTGCTTTCCAGTATCTGTAACAGGTCCTTGTGTTCTTTGTTTTTGGAAATTGCTGTATTAGTTCTGACAAGCTGTTGATTATGTTTGACTCACTGCCGTAGTGTCAAGCGACCACAGTAAGATCTGCTGAAAAATCCGAAGTCCGTCAATTATTGACGACGTGGTTGCATAGATACAGAATCCTTGTGTTGAAAAAATAAACTGAAAGACTCACATATTTCTTCATTCTTGATCTTTTGGCACAGTAAAAGAAATCTATGCTGCACGATTCTAATATAAAAAAGGTTAAAATGCTTAAGTGATATGCTTTATTCTTCATGAAGCTGAAGTTTTTTTATTAATAAAATCTCATTTACAGTGATAAACATGACCCATCCATAGTCAGTGTCACAACAGGAAGAGTAACAAATAGAGCTACAAATATAGAAACGCAGGTCACTTTCTTTCTCAGTCCTCTCCACAGACTCAATGAGCTTTTTAAATGTCATGGTCCTTGCGATTTAGTTTAATGGCTGATTTGCATATTCTGGAACAACCAGTATCTACTAAACAGACAAACATGGAAATAGAATCAAGAAGAACAATAGCTACCATTAAATACGTTGAATTTGTAATCACATGTAGTTAAGGAAGACCTACCTTTTCTCCATGTTGACTATTCCTGGATGATTTTATTTCCAGTTATTATTAATTGTTATCAATCACCAATTACTGTTTCCATAATTTACATGTAAAGAAGTCAGACTTATTGGACTTCTATGGGTTCTTTTTTCACTTCAACTTTATTGGCCATTATTTTTTTAATGGGGCCTACAGTACCATGACATGTCTTCCATTCTAGTAGAGTTGGTGGCAATAATTTACCATCTACTCTGATTCATATTGTAGCTCATTTTTTGTATTTTTGCCCTCTTATCAAACATCATTTGGACTGCCTCTCCTCCACATCCCTGATCACCAAAACCACTGTCACTACAACACTTACACTGTGATTAACAAAACACCCATCAGGAGCTTCTGAGTGAGTCAATTGATAAAAACTCCAGTTTTGTCTGCAAGCTGTGGTGTCTTGTGCAGAAAAGATTGGTTGGAATCCAGACTGCGTCATTACTAGCAATCTGATCTTTGATTTTCTGTGAATTAGCTGCATTTCTTACACGGTGTAAGCTTTTAGTCGGTTTATACATGGGAACTATTGTGCTAGGGAGTCTCTTATTCAGACTAGGGTCGATGCCACGCAGCTTCCCTGATTTTTTGGATGCAGAGTGCTGTGCACCTGTGAGACATACAGAGAAAAAAACACAACTACAGTTAATACTTGTCTTCTTTGGACACACTTCTTAACATTTACACTTGTGAGCAAGAAATAAGTCTTCACCATCTGTTTTTCTTTTCTCTAACAATTCTACTGAATTTTGGGAGAAAATAAGCTTGCATTTCGAATCACTTGTGCAGCTGTTAAATATGACCATTCTAAGGATACTGCTTGCATAACTCTGGTTTTACATACAGTAATAAAACCATTGTACTATGTGGTTATTTACATGCACAACACTGCATGTACTTTGTCCTGTATTTAAGTGTCAGGAAATGTTTTGTCCATTTTCCCATTTGAACATGCTTAAAGCCATAGTTTGTATTTCACTGGTCCGAACATGTGCATATATATAAAATAAAGACAGCAGTGATGGTGAGGAAGATGGGGTGGAGAGACTAGAGATTCCTTACCCGTGATGAAGCCAGTGCTCTTATGTTTCAGTTTCACTATTCTCACTTTGTGAGGCAACAGCGCATCTTTCATTTCTGTTTGTATTTAAATGTTCATCAATGGAGTCCGTTAACATTTTCCTTTGAAACGCATCATTTAAAGAATGACAGATAGTGGAACTAGTGATAGTGAAATAGTTAAATGTATTTAACTTCCAATCCTACTACAGTACACCAACCACCACAACAGTTTCTCATCTTCTGTGCAACCAATGTAATACTGTACTTAGTGGGTTTTAATGACTATTTTGTCCCGTTAATAGACAGTGAGAACAGGAAGTACTGAATTTCTAACAGCAAACAACAACAATGATGAGCACTTGAATGTGACATGATGTTTTTTGACATTCTCAAGGCTACTGGAAGTTTCTCATGAAAGATCAGTCCTTACATTACAAGCTGTAGGCATGCAATGAAATGTTTGTGTTTGGATTGAGAAATGATTAATGGAAAATGGAGTACAAACAGGAGGTCGTTGTTCCAATTAAGTGATGAAATTAGTGGAGTTCCAGAAGGATTTGCACTGGGACCACTTGTTATTCCAAACGTCTGAATGCTGGTATTGTCAGTAAGCTAGTTTCATTTGCAAACTAGACCTCAGTAAGAGGACTAGCAAACACTATAGGAATTGAAATAGAATGAGTAAAGATTTTGGCAAAGTCAAGGGCAGAATATCACGTACAGGCATGAAAAAGAACTTAAAGAAGCAACTTATGATAAAGACTTAGATATTTAACCCACATAATTTACATCTTTTATGTGTGGGGAAGCAATAAGCAAGCAAACAAAACGTTAGGATATATAGTCAAAAGCATATAATTAAAATCAAAGGATGTTATGCTGAAATTGTATAGTGCACTAGTAAAGCCTCAATGTAGAATACTGTTGAAAAGCTTGGTTAAGACATTACTGAAAAGTTACTGCAGCTCTGAAGTTAGTCCACACAAAAGCAACAAAGTGCATTCTAGTACTTAAATAAATATCCTACAAAGACAGACCGAAGGAAAGGAACCCTTTTAGTTGTGAAAAAAGTAGATATGACAGGACTTCATACAAGTATTCAGAATTACCACAGGCATTGACAAGGTCAGTAATACACACAATATGTTTCTTCAGAATGAACAGTGACGCATAAACCAGAAGACACATGTAAAAACTAGAGGAAAGTGCATTAAAAAAAACAGAACAGAAGACACCGCTTTACACAAGTAACAATGACAACAAGATATGGTATATACATTTCTATAAAACTAGTAGTGTAGAAGGGATTATTCATGCTCCTGTTATTCATTAAAATCATTTACTATACATTTTTACAATGTGCTCAGATGAATTAGTGTACAATGAGCTCATTGTCAGGTGTTATTTAACAATATTGATAACACTCAAAAAGGTAGTGAGCAGCGCTGTCAGAGATGAAA